CGATATTTCATATGGCGATAGGCAGGAACTCAGATGCGTGGATTCAATTCAAATGTCCATATTCCTAACTGACATTTCACAACATAAATACATACATTATTGAGGTAGGGTTCTGAAAGGACCCCGCACTTTCCTTATGGAAAATGGCTTTCGGTTAAATTCCCTGAATTTATGGTATGATGTAGATTTTGACTTCCTTAGCAGAAGTGTCTATGGGCACAAATAAATCCGGAACCTAACCTGGCACCACGGGCTCCTCGCCAAGCTTCCATCTTATGGCTTGTCTCCTCAGCTATGTTCTCTGCTAGCTAGTTTTCTCTCAAACAGGTCTCTCCATGTAGTGGTCGACGGAGTTCCATCTGACTCTCTTACCATAAATGCTGGTGTTCCGCAAGGATCAATTCTAGCACCAACACTATTTCTACTCCATATCAACGATTTGTTGGAAGCAACTTCATGTCCAGTACACAGCTTCGCGGATGATAGTACCCCCATACCGCCTTCTCTTCTAGGGCTCCAATACCAGCCAGGCAAATCAGAAACGAACGAGGGAGAAATGTTGGCAACATAAATATGGACTTGGCAACAATTCTCGAGTGGGGATCAAATAACTTGGTAAATTTCAATGCAAACAAAACACAAGCATGCCTTTTCTCTAAAAAAGCCGATCTCACTGTGCCAAACATAAGCATGTCAGGACTAACCATACTTTTGAAGACATCCATTTCCGATGCTTGGTATTACTATCAGCAATCACTTTTCTTGGGAAAATCACGTGAAATCAATTGCGAAAAGTGCATTCCAAAAACTTTTCTGTTTCGGGCCAGGAGCTATTTCACTTCCAGTCAGCTGCTTATGATCTTTAAGACACAGATCCGACCTGTCTAGGAATACTGTTCCCATATTTGGCGTGCAGCACCCAAATATACCCTGAAACTGTTGGATTCTGTCCAAAAAAGGGCAATTCGTCTCGTGGGTGATGCCTCGCTCACAAACTCACTCACTTCTCTGGAATACCGTAGAAAAGTTGGCGATCTGGCTCTTTTTTATAGATATTTCCATGGACGATGCTCTTCTGAAATATCAACAATTGTACCTCCCTTGGCAGTCTCCGCGAGATTTACCCGTCGAGTTGAGGCTTCGCACCCCTTCGTGGTCACTTTGGAGACCTGCAGAACATCTCTTTCTAAACACTCGTTCATCCAACGAACAGCGAGGCTCTGGAACACATTGCCAAGGGAGGTGTTCCCCGAGGCATATAACCTTCAGAAATTCAAGAAGAACACCAATTCCTACCTTATTTCTCTTGGTTCTCACGATGTTCTTTGAACCTTACAGGATATCTCTTCCCTCAGAGGCATCTGTTCGTGGTAGGAGTATGTTCAGTTCCTCATGACCCACCCTGTATGCAAAATTAATTATGTTTCACCTGGTTGATTTATATATATTGATAAACCTTCAATTTCATGTATTCCGAAGTAGGGGGTGCCATTTGAGATTTCAAAGTAGGGATGTCTGGGGGTGAAGGGGATGAACATTTCAATTGATACTGGCATTTTACTTTCCCCTCGATATTTAAATCGACCTGTTTTTTTTTTCGAAAACTGTTATTTTCGCAAATTAAAAGATATGCAGGGTGATAGGTTTCGAATGACCTGTATGTCCATGCCTGTCCACAGGTAACTAATCCTTCAAGTTGGGAAAGTAGGATATTTATGAAAGTTAAGCAAGCCAAGGTTGTTTAGTTCATTGCAGGGGCGGATCCAGGGGGGGGCCATGGGGCCATGCCCCCCTCCCTCGGAAACCTCATGGATATGTGAAAATGTAGGTATTTTGAATAAATGAAAAAATTAGTGTTTATATATCTTCATAGCTAGAAACTTCGCAACAGCTCTGAGAAATTGCGAATTTGTAATATCACTCTGCCTTTTGGCAAATCTGTTTTTGATAACACTGCCACTCAGTAATTTGCTCCAAACAAAAAACTTAGACAAAAAACAAGCAAACGATGTTGTTAGTATCACTCTTCTGACGCTTCAAAATAAAAGGGATGATATTCTAAATACTATCTGAGTATTTCGAATGAAGCCAAACAGAAATTAAAAGAACTGAATGTTGAATTTTCGATGCCGAGAATAACAGGGAGACTGGTTCATAGACAAAATCCTACGATTTCCTCAGTGGATGACCATTACATAACAACTGTTTTCATCCCAGTATTATCTTGATCTGAATGATAGAGTATCAGAAAATAAATTTAATAATTTTAGAAGATCATTTCTAGGAATGTAACAAACATTTGTTTCCTAACATAAACATTCTTCTGGAACCAATATGTTGCCTGTCTGTAACTATTGCATCTTCTGAAAGAAGTGTTTCAACACTCAGAAGGCTGATAGATTGGATAAGATCCAGAATGGTCCAAGACAGGTCAAATGGATTGGCATTGATGCGTATTCATAGGGGCATTTGCAGCAGTCTGAATGTTGATGATATCATCCAAAGATACGCTAGGCAGAAGAATAGAAGACTGGATATTGATTTCTTTATTTTATATATTTTTATTTTCGTCTTTTTAATTTGATTTGTTTTTTAAAAGAAATAGTGTTATTCACTTTTGAACCCAAGTTCTTCAAGAGAAATATTTTTTCATTTCCTTTTTTTATCCAATATGATTTATTACAGAATTTTACATATATTGATGGAATAAAAGTTTGAACTTGTTTTTTTACACCAGTAATTTCGATACTTGAAAGGAAACTAAAGATTTCATGTTTACGATAATCAATTTTTTGAATGAAAAAGCATTTCTCCCAGAAGGTCACCATATAATTTCTCTTTCGCGCTAACCTTATATTGAGCCGTGACTTTCTATGCCCCCCCCCCCTCAAACATCGTCTGGATCCGCCCCTGGTTCATTGTACCTACCAGTATATCCCCTGACGAACCTACTGTGCTAGCGAAACATGTTTTGTGTTTAAGAATTTTGTGGAAATCTTTATCGTTTGTGGAGTTTTTACAATTATCAGTCCACTCGCCCATTGGTTGATTTTTCAGAAAGTTATGACAACTTGGACATTGGTGAAAATCCAAGTGGCCTACTTGTTTTTTTTTCAAAACATTTATAACTCACTCCTGCGGTGTTCGCGCAGGACAGAGTTTATATCCACCCTGTACATGTCTACCTGCATTAATGCATCGATACTTACTTCACAAATGATCGTAGGCGATACGTATCGACATTACGATTACATCATACTATAATTATTATTCCCATGTTCGATTTATAATTGATAAGGCATGCTTTTGAACAATAAAAAACACTGTCTGCTATTTGCTTCGAGTTTCAGTATTATCACAGGTAATATTTTAACATACGAAACCGGTATGTACTTACCTACCTACATACCTTTACCAAATATTAAAAAATCGTCCATATACTTGCCTTGTCTGATAATAATCATTATCGGAGTTTATTATGCAGTCATAAATTAAATGAAATATGCATAGAATATGCGGCTTTCTGCGACTAACTATCTTCTCCTACTTTTCATCTCATTATGTGCACATTTGTCACAGTAAGATATTCTGTACTTTGAAGTTGCAACTCTGAATCCGAGTCTGAATCGGACTGATTCACAGTTACAACTATACTAATTTACAGTTGTAACTCTGAGTTGGGTTATTGATCGACAGTTACAACTGTAAAATATATGACTTAGTGTGTCTTACTCGGAATTTTAAAATTCCGACTTATATCTCGGAATTTTACATCAAAAAATCCGGAATTTCACATTGAAGTTCCGACTTATTGCACGGAATTTTAAAATTCCGAGATATAAGTCGGAATTTTGATGTAAAATTCCGAGTTATAAGTCGGAATTTTACATCCAAAATTCCGAATTATAACTGAGAATTTTAAAATTCCGAGATATGAGTCGGAATCTTGTTTTGAAATTCCGAGTTACTACACGGAATTTTAAAATTCTGAGTCAACCCGGAATTTTCGATGTAAAATTCCGAGACGTACGGAGGCCTGGAAGGGACACATAAAATAAAAAAGAAATGAACTCTTCAAAATTCTGAGTTGTAACTCGGAATTTTGAAATTCCGACTTATATCTCGGAATTTTACATCGAAAATTCAGAGTTAAAACTCAGAATTTTAAATTTCCGTGTTATAACTCAGAATTTTACAACAAGATTCCGACTTGTATCCCGGAATTTTACATCGAAAATTCCGAGTTAAACCTCAGAATTTTAAAATTCCGTGTTATAACTCGGAATTTTACAACAAGATTCCGACTTATATCTCGGAATTTTAAAATTCCGACTTATAACTCGGAATTTTGGATGTAAAATTCCGACTTATAACTCGGAATTTTACATCAAAATTCCGACTTATATCTCGGAATTTCAAAATTCCGTGCAATAAGTTGGAACTTTAATGTGACATTCCGGAATTTTGGATGTAAAATTCCGAGATATAACTCGGAATTTTGGATGTAAAATTCCGACTTATAACTCGGAATTTTACATCAAAATTCCGACTTATATCTCGGAATTTCAGAATTCCGTGCAATAAGTTGGAACTTTAATGTGACATTCCGGAATTTTGGATGTAAAATTCCGAGATATAAGTCGGAATTTTGATATTCCGAGTAAAATTCCGACTTATATCTCGGATTGAAAGGATTAATATATCAGTATGGCGAGATGAGGTTTCTACGTCATAAGAGGGTCCGTTTTCAGAAGGTACTATTATTTACAAATAAGAATTAATAAAGAAGAAATTGTATTCCACAAAGAAATATAATATGGAAATGTGTCTCATTGAATTGTTATTCTACATATGGTTGCCGAAAAAATCCAATTCCTACCTTATTTTGTCCCTATATCCACTATATTTACGTACGATGTTTCACGCACTTGATAAGGTTTCCCTTCCGTGCGCTCTTAAAAGATGACGAAAACTATTCCTTATGGCTTCTGCTTTTTCAGTTCCAGATCACCTGATATTGGAAACAGACCCAGAAAAAGGCAAAGGAGTCTATGCTTTCGATAATCCAGGATTCAAAGGTAAGAGTATATATACGGAAAAAAAGGAATTGTTGAATCAAGCAAAATTTAGTTGAATGAAGCAAATGAAGTCATATATGCACGACAAAATATAATCTTGAAATACGTAAATCTATATCTTGTTTCAGAGCGAATTTGAAGTTTGAATTAAGTAAATATGTCTTGCATATGAACTTTGGATCTTATTCAATCAAGCACATCCATGAATTGTTCATGAAGAGATATTGAATTGGCTCAAACAATCATTTTGTTTAATTCAAAATAACAAGATATTGATTCAATCAAATATTCAGTTGATTCAATGAAATATTTGGTTGATTTGAAGAAATATTTGGTTGATTCAATGAATTATTTGGTTAATTCAATGAAATATTTTGTTGATTCAATGAAATATTTCGTTGATTCAAGAGAAACTGTATTTCCATTCGATATTCGATAAATGTTTTGTTGAACCAAATTCAATATATCAATTCGGGAATTTTCTAAAATTTCACATCGATAGAATAAACTAAACTAGGAAACTAGCCGACTTCTAGCATAGATCTTCAGTCTTTACTTCTCTTCCGCTGATGCAAAACTATTTCGGATTGCTAATCATCCTTAGTTCGAATTATCCATCAGCTGATATTTCAGACACAAAGAATCAGGCTTCACGTATATAATTAATTTGAGGCAGGCATAGACGAGGCGAAATGATCGCCATCTAGAGGCGAAAATTTAACTTGATGTAGATTGAATAGAATATTTCATTGATATTACATATTTCGTTGCTCTATTCAAGCAAATGATCCGTTCGAAACTTGTTCATTGCTACATCGGAATAAGAAAACTTGTATGTTGTTTCAAAGATATATTCTCTTCAAAATGATCATCGTTTCATCAAATCGACAAAATGTTTATAGTTGAATCAACATCGACATTATTTTGGATCTAACATAATTTGTTTTGAGAAAACAATATATTTTGTTGATGGAATTGATATTATACTGTTGATTTCAATTAGACTACATTCTTGATTTGAACAAGCTGCTTCCATGAAATAATCATGTATCTGGTTGATTCAAGAAAAACTTGCTCAGTCCAACAAAAATAATTCAAGCATAAATAATTTGTTGATGCAACAAATCCTTTCTATCCGTTATACTGTCGTCGAATATAATCCTCTAACTAGCTACTTCGAATCATATTTTGATAGATGCCTATTTTTTCTATCGACCCTCCTACTCTCACTGTAATGAGATATACAGCTCTGCCCATTGAAAACGGAAAATAAATCATTCTGTTTCCTTATAGTATTTTACATATTTTAGGTTTCCTTTCGATTCCAGATACTTGGCAGATTACTCTTAGTGTAATGGGATGTACAGCTCCGCTCATTGAAAACGGAAAGCAAAGATTTCCGTTTCCTGTGAGCAGCATTGTACATATTTTGAGACTTCTTTCGATTTCAGATGCTAGCTACTTGGCTGCCGCCAAGCAGCATCTGGACGCTGACAAATCCGATTTGACGAAATCGAAATGGCAGTGGACACCTTTGTCAGCTTTCGCTGTCAAATCGGAACGAAGAAGAGCTCTCGATGACTCTGCAATCGAGGTAAATCCCGTATTTTTTTGGAGGTGGTAAATTCATTTTTCTAGTTTTTTTTTTCATATCCTTTCCTCGTTTCTATAAAATGATTATGAGTATTATTTTAATGTACAGTGTGTCCAGTTCTCGATGCTTTTTCGTGATATCTCAGTTATCTTTCGAGATAGAACCTTGCGGTTTTCGCGATCCCGTACCACTTTTTGGGGAAACTCAAGATGGCCTATTCAGATTTCGCATAACTGTTTCCGTTTATGAGATACAGGGCGATTTTGAAAATTTATACTATTTGTGCCCCCTCCATATCTAGGAAGTTTCTTAGCGAAAATGTCGAATTAAAATCTCATCCCATAGAGAATTTCACGCAGAATCCAGTGGCGCACTTAAATTTTTTTTCCGTAGTATGGTTTTGGAGATACGACTCACACTTATGATTTTTCAAATGGAACACCCTGTATTTTATAAGCTTATTGAATTCCTCATTGTCTTCCCATCAAAATGAGATATAATGTATAAATATAACATTTTGAAAAAATGCTCCAAAACCACTAAAACATTAAATTTTAATATAGTGGGCTATATGGATTGTTTATATAAAAATAAATCCAATTGATGGAATCATTATTCTGATTCTTCCATGAAGAGGACAAAAACAATACCAACAACAATTAACTGAGATATATCACAAAAATTAGATACCTGATAGCAACAAATAAATAGTAATGAAAAGTTCATAATAGAGACTAAGCACCTGATTAAATATTCACTAAGACAATTGTATTTTGAAATTAATCAGTAACTGATTCATTGAATTGTTCAAATGGGCGTGTACACCTTAGTAGAATTTTTAACTCAAACCATGTTTATAATGATCCTTTTATACATAAATAATGATTGACGAAATGATTCGATCGAAAAATGAACTGAAATGTTTTATTCTTGGACATAAATGATAGTAACTTCTGAAAACAGACCCTCTTATGACGTAGAAACCTCATCTCGCCATAGTTAAAAGAAAATACCAAACGAAGGATACCGAAGGAGACGGGAGGCAACTGATATATTAATTCTTTCAACTGTGATCTCGCGCTAATTCACTCTGTCAGAAATCATGTATCATTCATCTCTGTCTGGAATAGTCTTGTTATACGACGCTATACATAGTGGAGTATACTACGGCCGTGCCAAAAATGCTATCTCGGAAACTAAGCGAGATAGAGGTATAGTTGCTTTGGAGAAAATGATCCCCATCGAATTTTGAGCAACTTTGGTTTTTGTGTGTGGTCTGTCTGTCTGTCTGTCTGTACTCTGTGTTAATCATAAATCGATATATCTCCGGAACCCTTTGACATATCGACTTGAAATTTTGCCATCTTATTGTACTCAAAACAATATTATGTCATTAAAATATGAAGGAAATCGGAAAACTCTAAGGTGGTTTTTCCGGGTTTTTTCGATTTTTCACCGGAAGTTCCTTGTAATCACTCTACAAATCGCAAAAGTGGTCCGATCGATTTCATTTTTTGTGAAAAAAACCTCTATCAGGAAGAGACGAAGCCTATTGAAATTGAGCAGGGTCGGAAAATTCCAAGTGGGTTTTTCAAGGAGATTTTCCGAAAAACACGGTTCGCTTTAAAACGACATATCTCGTGAACAAATAGACTAAATCCAAATTTGAGAAATGCACCGTATGCCTCTTTGATGACGCAACAAATTATCATTCAATCATTTTTTCGTGCATCCATCGGAAACTGGAAAAACAAATGAAAACCCAAACATCAAAATTTGAAATCCTTTTAATTCAATATATATCGAAAACAAATGAAAAAATCGAAAATTATCAAGAGTGCAATGTTATCCACTGGAACATTCCCTACAAATCATTTCCCATAATTTTTTCTGTAAACCCAATAGTACAGGAAATAAAGTGAAAAATATGAAAAAAAAAATTTTAACGACCCATAGGGTACTATGAAGATATATTGAAAAACATAGATTATCGATAGATGAAGCTCATCTACCTCCACTGAGGCATGGAATATTTTTTCATTTTGTTGATTGGAAGATGGAACAAAAGTGTTGAAAATTTTATTCTCAGATAATTCCAAATATCTCGAAAACAACTGAAAATATCTGAAAATGTTATAGAACCAAAATTATTCCTTTCGATAAAATCCACAAAAAATCCTCATAACATTTTTTTCTGAATTCAATAGTTCGGGAGATACGATGAAAAAACTAAATAATTTACAAGTTCCTAAATAATCACTTGCCAATAGAAAACAAAACAAAAAACAAAAGAAAGTAAAAAAAGCACACTCAAGTGTCTTGATTTTTTTCTCATAAAATACGTACCTAGCTCACTCGACTGTGTGGAAAAACCAAGACAGTCGAGTGGGCTAAGTACGTAGTTTGTGGGAAAAATCTCCAGTTCTCCGAACTTCCATAGCGTCGTATACACATCCTTGGTGCCCAATGATAGTTTCAATATGAAAATATACTCATGATATGGTGCCATGGCCTCTACTTTCATCTTACATGAGCAATGATAAAGTATAATCTGCTATTATAGCGTCGTATAAATTATCTGACCCCTAAATAAACTAATACCTAATGAAAACTACATCTATACTAATCTGATACCTTTTAAAAATTACGCACCCACTTGTTATACGACGCTATACATAGTGGAGTATACTACGGCCGTGCCAAAAATGCTATCTCGGAAACTAAGCGAGATAGAGGTATAGTTGCTTTGGAGAAAATGATCCCCATCGAATTTTGAGCAACTTTGGTTTTTGTGTGTGGTCTGTCTGTCTGTCTGTCTGTACTCTGTGTTAATCATAAATCGATATATCTCCGGAACCCTTCGACATATCGACTTGAAATTTTGCCATCTTATTGTACTCAAAACAATATTATGTCATTAAAATATGAAGGAAATCGGAAAACTCTAAGGTGGTTTTTCCGGGATTTTTCGATTTTTCACCGGAAGTTCCTTGTAATCACTCTACAAATCGCAAAAGTGGTCCGATCGATTTCATTTTTTGTGAAAAAAAACTCTATCAGGAAGAGACGAAGCCTATTGAAATTGAGCAGGGTCGGAAAATTCCAAGTGGGTTTTTCAAGGAGATTTTCCGAAAAACACGGTTCGCTTTAAAACGACATATCTCGTGAACAAATAGACTAAATCCAAATTTGAGAAATGCACCGTATGCCTCTTTGATGACGCAACAAATTATCATTCAATCATTTTTTCGTGCATCCATCGGAAAATGGAAAAACAAATGAAAATCAAAACATCAAAATTTGAAATCCTTTCAATTCAATATATATCGACAACAAATGGAAAAATCGAAAATTATCAAGAGTGCAAAGTTATCCACTGGAACATTTCCTACAAATGATTTCCCATAATTTTTTCTGTAAACCCAATAGTACAGGAAATAAAGTGGAAAATATGAAAAAAAAAAGTTTTACGACCCATAGGGTACTATGAAGATATATTGAAAAACAAAGATTATCGATAGATGAAGCTCATCGACTTCCACTGAACCATGAAATATTTTTTCATTTTGTTGATTGGAAGATGGAACAAAAGTGTTGAAAATTTTATTCTCAGATAATTCCAAATATCTCGAAAACAACTGGAAATATCTGAAAATGTTATAGAACCAAAATTATTCCTTTTGATAAAATCTACAAAAAATCCGAATAACATTTTCCTCTGAATTCAATAGTTCGGGAGATACGATGAAAAAACTAAAAAATTTACAAGTTCCTAAATAATCACTTGCCAATAGAGAACAAAACAAAAAACGAAAGAAAGTGAAAAAAGCACACTCGAGTGTCTTGATTTTTCTCTCATAAACTACGTACCTAGCTCACTCGACTGTGTGGAAAAACCAAGACAGTCGAGTGGGCTAAGTACGTATAGTTTGTGGAAAAAATCTCCAGTTCTCCGAACTTTCATAGCGTCGTATACACATCCTTGGTGCCCAATGATAGTTTCAATATAAAAATATACTCATGATATGGTGCCATGGCCTCTACTTCCATCTTACATGAGCAATGATAAAATATCATCTGCTTTTGAAGCGTCGTATAAATTATCTGACCTCTTAGTCTGATACCTTCCAAAAACTACGTACCTCACTTGTTATACGACGCTATACATAGTGGAGTATACTACGGCCGTGCCAAAAATGCTATCTCGGAAACTAAGCGAGATAGAGGTATAGTTGCTTTGGAGAAAATGATCCCCATCGAATTTTGAGCAACTTTGGTTTCTGTGTGTGGTCTGTCTGTCTGTCTGTCTGTACTCTGTGTTAATCATAAATCGATATATCTCCGGAACCCTTTGACATATCGACTTGAAATTTTGCCATCTTATTGTACTCAAAACAATATTATGTCATTAAAATATGAAGGAAATCGGAAAACTCTAAGGTGGTTTTTCCGGGTTTTTTCGATTTTTCACCGGAAGTTCCTTGTAATCACTCTACAAATCGCAAAAGTGGTCCGATCGATTTCATTTTTTGTGAAAAATAACTCTATCAGAAAGAGACGAAGCCTATTGAAATTGAGCAGGATCGGAAAATTCCAAGTGGGGTTTTCAAGGAGATTTTCCGAAAAACACGGTTCGCTTTAAAACGACATATCTCCTGAACCAATAGACTAAATCCAAATTTGAAAAATGCACCGTATGCCTCTTTGATGACGCAACAAATTATTATTCAACAATTTTTTCGTGCATCCATCGGAAAATGGAAAAACAAATGAAAATCAAAACATCAAAATTTGAAATCCTTTTAAATCAATATATATCGAAAACAAATGGAAAAATCGAAAATTATCAAGAGTGCAATGTTATCCACTGGAACATTCCCTACAAATCATTTTCCATAATTTTTTCTGTAAACCCAATAGTACAGGAAATAAAGTGAAAAATATGAAAAAAAAAATTTTAACGACCCATAGGGTACTATGAAGATATATTGAAAAACAAAGATTATCGATAGATGAAGCTCATCGACCTCCACTGAACCATGAAATATTTTTTCCTTTCGTTGATTGGAAGATGGAACAAAAGTGTTGAAAATTTTATTCTCAGATAATTCCAAATATCTCGAAAACAACTGAAAATATCTGAAAATGTTATTGAACCAAAATTATTCCTTTTGATAGAATCTACAAAAAATCCCCGTAACATTTTTCTCTGAATTCAATAGTTCGGGAGATACGATGAAAAAACTAAAAAAATTTACTGGTTCCTAGATAATCACTTGCCAATAGAAAACAAAACAAAAAACAAAAGGAAGTAGAAAAAGCACACTCGACTGTCTTTATTTTTCGCCAATAAACTAGGTACCTAGCTCACTCGACTGTCTTAATTTTTTGCCCATAAACTACGTACCTAGCTCACTCGACTGTCTTGATTTCCCACAAAGAAGAAATATGTTGGCATAGTTTTAACTTCCTTTTGTTTTTGTTTATTCAGTCTCTATTGGCAGCCGAGTGGGCTAGGTACGTAGTTTGTGTGGAAAAACCAAGACAGTCGAGTGGGCTAAGTACGCAGTATGTGGGAAAAATCTCTAGTTCTCTGAACTTTCATAGCGTCGTATACACATCATTGGTGCCGAATGATAGTTTCAATATGAAAAAATATGCTCATGATATGGTGTCATGGCCTCTACTTCCATCTTACATGAGCAATGATAAAATATCATCTGCTTTTATAGCGTCGTATAAATTATCTGACCCCTATACTAATCTAATACCTGATGAAAACTACATCTATACCAATCTGATACCTTTCAAAAACTACGTACCTCACTTGTTTCAGTATTAGGGTTTTGACGTCACATCATCGCCACGTTTTCAGAGGTCCGAAAAATCGGGGATTTCAATAATTTTTTATAAAACGTAGGGAGCTCACATCAAGAAACGGTTTGCGGTGATGAGTTAGTTTGGGCGAGTTCTATCGAATTATGAAATAAAAATTTTTTGTGATTCATTTTTCCACACATACTTTCTCAATACGTCTTAATGCATTCAAAATCATTGTAATTCCTGGAAAACTGCCTCTGTTGTTGCATGAAGTTCTTCAAGATTGTTGTGCCTCTTACTGTATCAAGACGTATTGAGAAACTGTGTCAATTTTGTGTTAGGGAAAATGGACATCAATTTGAACAATTCAATGAATAAGTTACTGAATAATTTCGAAATACAATAGTTCTTGTAAATATTTAATCTGGTGCTTATTCTACATTATGAACTTTTTATTACTATTTATTTGTTGCTATCATGCAGGTAACTAATTTTTGTATTTTCTTAGTTAATTAGTATTGATATTATTTTGTCCCCTTCATTAGAACTTTTTTATATGAAAAATCCATAGCCCACTATTAAAATCCAATGTTTTAGTGATTTTGGAGCATTTTTGAAAATTCGAACACAGACCCCTACGTCTGCGCAACAGAGAGGCAGACATACAGCGTGTATATAATAATTCTTGTGACATTCTAGCTGATAAAGTTAAATAAACATCTGTCCTAATTTGCTCCGTTTTTGATATACAGGATGTTAAAGTCGGAAGTATTAATTGTTTTTATTAATAACCCCTCTGTATAAGCTATCTTGGTGCTGAAATTCAGCATGGATAAAAACTCAGAAAGCCCCAAAATGTCAAAATGATTCTAATTGGGGTTATTGAGTAATATCAATGGAAGTCTTGAAAACTCCCACATTAAAGTTTGGAGTCAAAATCGAATTTTTATTGTTTCATCAAAAACTAAACTAGATACAAAAATCACAGAGGTTGAAAAAGTTGTTATTTCTAATAGTCCAATCTAATAAAAATATGAAACTCAGGAAAACCGGTGGCGTACAATGACATTCACCATGCATGAATATCGATAAATTTACCTACTGTGACGCCACTGGAAATATTATTTCGAATCTAATTGCACTAGAAGAAGCTCCATATTACTATTAACAAAACCACAACGTTTTATTGAAATTGATATGAAAAGACAATTGAGAAATGAATTGAAAAAAGATTTTTCTTTGAAATATTATAATACCCTGTATCTCGAGATCGAAGCAGGTTAGAACACATGTTTATATGAACTTCATATCCTAAAATATCACAAGGAATCGCACCTTGAATTTTTTCAGTGTTATTTAGATACACCCTGTATATTTCATTTTCTCTGCGTCGTATGTTTTCACATTTGACTGTTTTTTCATTTTCAGGGAAACGCGGTGAAAGTGATATCCCTGAAAAGCCACGACTTCACCGGTTTAGGTTTCAATATTTGCGGAAACATGAAAGAAGGGATATTCGTTAAAGATGTCCTACAAAGAGGACCAGCCTCCGAGTCCGGCAAACTCAATTCAGGTTAGTAAACCATCGATATACAGGGTGACAACGAAATCATCGGCCATGGCGGCAACCAGTTGTATTTTCAATGTAAAACAACTGGATATATCACTTCCAGCTATACCGGGAATAGCGAGAGAAATACATACTAAATACACCGGCACAATTAGGGGAACGGGCAAACTTGACACTAAGTTTGACATCAATTTTCTCTTGAACCCATCGCTCGATTTCAATTCTTTTTTTCCAAGAATTGTAGCTCGAATCTTCACGAATATATGTGACGAATGAACACCTTCGAATGATCCGTCTTTATATCATATACAGAGGTGGAAAAAAAGTACGGATTTTTCGGTATTTTTCAAGACATCCTGTGGAGAGAATCAAGGACAATTATAACACCAGTCTGTATCACAAAATTGTAGCCTGATCCTTTCCGAACATTTTGTTTTTTTATTCATACTGATATCTTCATTATGCAAGATAATACAGAGTTTCAAAGAAAAGGTGGAGATTGGTCTTACCCCCTTCTATCACCTCGAAAATCGAATTGGATCTAAAATAGTCATTTCTCAAGTTGTTCCTTTCAAAATTTCCACTTCAAGTTGAATATTGCTCTTAGTTTCACGTATCAGTCTATTGTGTTGAGAATTCTTGGAAATATACAGAGGTGATTAAAAAGAAAAGTAATTTTTTCAAAGCCTCTATTCAATTACAATAACATTAACTCAACGACAATGAAGATCCAAAACAACAACAATGATTTCAATAACGCGTCTCCTCATGCTTCCGATGACATTATCAATCATTTTTTGAGGAAGATTATCTTATCCAGTGGCGTAACTACCTAAGACAAGTGAGCGCAATGCGTTGGGGCCCCCAAATTTGGGGGGCCCACTCGTCGGACTACTCATTCGTTATTCTTCAATGAAAAAAAAAAAAAAACTGGAATATGCGAATATTTGCAACAGTTCCTAATATTGTAGTTTTTTTGTTCAACTGAATCTAGGGACACTTCTGTCTAGCAAACATTATTTTTACTATGTTCTGCATTAGACGAACCTAGGTCTGTTTCACTGAGGGCAAAAAGTAATGTGGAAAACTATCGTCAACGCTATGATGAGGTTCTAAAAGAAGCACAATTAACTGCCCTAAAATGGGACATTCCAACTAATTTTAAGAGTAAGCGACAAGCTATTAAGAAAAAAGCATTTGACGAATTAACTTTAGATCATCGTTCTGATTCTAGGGAACAGTTTTTCAAAATTAATGTTTTTTTATCAATTATTGACATTATACAATCTCAGTTAACAAATAGATTTACAGGGTTCAATAAAGTGAGTGATATCTTTTTATTCTTACAACCTAAAAATTTCATAAATTCAAAGTCGAATAATATCGCTAAATTTGTCTCAACAATTTATTAACATGGTTACATTGTTGAAAGTTGAAATCAGAGTTAAATCCAGAAAAGTGAAAAATTGTTGATGAAATATAATTATATAATATAAGTTTACATTGTCCTATCATTATTTTTTACCATGCCAATCACATTTGCGTCAGTCCGTCAGCTGAAAGATCATTTGGTAAATTAATTGAAACTGATCAAAAGTTATTTGAGGAATCGAATAGGGCAAGATCGATTGAAATATTCATCTTTAATTTCTACCGTGAAGTGAATTAGACCTGAGAGATTTGATAAATTAATTTGCGATGTGTAAAGCCAGAAAAAAAACATTTTAGCGTTCAATAAGTTTAGTTTGAATATAAAGTTGAAATTATTTGAAGTTTTGTTTTTATTCAATGAAGAAACACGTTGAGTTTCATTTTACTCAGAAAATCTGAAGTTATTTCTAGTAATGAAATAATAGAAAAATAATACTCGTTTAGCTCGTTGTTTAATTTTTTTAATATTTGTGATTTGTGACTGAAAGGGGGGCCCCTTATGTATTTTGCGTTGGGGCCAAAAAATTCTAGTTACGCCACTGATCTTATCTTCAGCTCGAGTGTAGAGGACGGTAAAATTAAGATCAATATCCACATTTTATTTAAAACTATGAAATCTGTAATAATTGAGATATCAAAATGAATTAAAAATGGAAATATTCGCATTAGAGTGGGTCACAATTCGGTGTTGAGAAATCGTTTCAATTATCAGTGGTTCACTCCACAGGATGTCCTAAAAAATACCGAAAAATCCGTGCATTCTTTACATCCCTGTATATGATATAAAGACGAATCGTTTGAGGATGGTTATCTGTCAGATGTATTCGTGATAAGTCAAGCTACAATCCTTAGAAACGAAAAATTTGATCCAGCGATGGGTTCATGAGAAAATTGATGTCAAACTTAGTGTAAATTTTGCTGGTTGTTTTGGAGTATTTCTTTCCTTGCCAGGTGGCGTTTACGTTGGGTCAGGTTCGCTTTTGTGTTGTTCCAGGGTGTACAATTGTATAGAAAGCTGTACATTTGAATCTTTAACTGTACCAAGGGAATACAATCAAAAAATCTGTACAAAACTGTACAATTCGACAATTATTTGAGAATTTCAATTCCACATGTCATATGGACAAGAAGAATATTTACCTACGTCTTTCCAAAATACACAAATATCTATAAAAATAGAATTCTATGAAAATTTATGTTTGTTGTTCCGTGATTCCGTGATACTCTATGATTTAAATGTCATGTCGAATGGTAGTCAGCATAGGGGACTGTCACTGTTAATAGTGTCACTCTCGCCTCGCGTCTGATGACGCGTCTTAAAACTAATACAAATAGACGCTTTGATAGCTTTCAGACCCCAGCCAAGTGGCGAACATTTGAAAATTTATAAACTACTAGAATATATGGCGACTGTGCAATTCTTCGAAAAACTGTACAATTCTACACTACTTGACGGTACATTCAGAATTACCCAAGGAACAACTATAAATCGCACCAGATAGTGGTCAAGAAGCTGTCTGGGACAGCCCTGTACTGATGAGAGTCAACAGCTCGAAACCGGTATACAGGAAGTCATGCGTTCCTGAACCACTTAGGCGCAGCTCGGCGTTTAGGAAGGAAACACTTGCGATTTCATTCGTCTATACGAATTATTGCATAGATATCGGGAAGATGTAATCTAATGGTCTGCGTGGCATATAGCCAGGAAAGTAGTTGTTCTCTCTCGTTATCTACCATTTTCGTTCGTTTTATGAACTATTGTGGTAATGACTTCGAGTTTCTCTCTATTTGTGAATTTATCATCATTTAATATCGTTCCCATATGATGCCGACTTAATGAACGCCACTGTAGAATCATTGTGAACAGAAATATGTTAACATTTCTGATGTTTTTCAGGTGACAGAATACACAGCGTGACGATCAATTTCGAGCACATCGTGTATGAAGACGCGTTGACCATTCTGGGCTATGCCAGCCCCTACGAAGTGACGATAGAGGCGACTAGCGGGAAATCGGCACTGAATTCACCCGACCAGGGTGGCCAACCCAGTCACCCTGTGTACAGGAGTTCATCGTGGAGCGATTTGTATAGGGTGAGTACAGCACTAATCATAGTCAACAGGTTTTGAATCATCATATTATGATTATTCTGGTGATTAATGGACACCGAATGCATAGTTGTGGATCGTTTAGGTATCAATCTATTGGTTAAAAATGAAATGTATGTGGCGAAATCTGTGATAGCATTTGATGTACAGAAATCTTCTGATCAATAGTTTTGGCGCCCAACGTGAGGTTTTTGCAACACACAATGTTACAATTATTCGATACTGCTCTTTTATCAATGCGATCTGAATTTAATTCATGAGTAGGAGGAAGACGATTAAGAGACGAAGCTGTCAAGTCTTACTGTTTATAGTACCTACAGAATTTACGAGACAATCGAATACAGTGACGTAAAAAACTGGTCGAGAAAAACTGCTCGAACGGAATTTCCACCACAGTGTCATTACTGGTGAAATAAAATCATCAAAATGAGTTTTATCATTGATTTTCAATCATACATACAAGGTACTATAATTGAAAGTTTTGTAATGAAGTGTTTTTGACCAGCTTCATTACTAGACTGGTTTTGATCAAAATCTAAGTACCTGAGCCTGATTCTAGTTGAATTTCACCTGTTCGAAAGCTCGAAACCTGAAAACCTGAGAGAGCTGAGTAATGCATTGATTCCTGACTTCACAAAGCTTTTCCTGATAGTAAAATCTCATGAACATCATTGCAACCCTAAAGACTTCAATATTTTTCAACCCTTTGCTTATGATATGAAATTTGATTGAATTATCTATCTGTTGAAATGCTTGATGTTTGACTGCTCATAACTTTGTTGTTATTGAATATTTTCCAGCCAAATTCATTCAGTAGCATAAGCAAAGGTAGTAGATCCTGTTCCTGTGCCCATTTAGGGTGTAATATTATTTTTTCCGCGTTTTGTGTTGGAGGTGCACATGTGTTTTTCAAGGACAGATCTTGTGGCCATGGCCATGAGCCATGACAAGGTGGGAGGTTTGACCAATGAGATTCCAGATTTACTTGTCCTTGTGCCAAGGCCAAAGCAGTGCATAAATACTGAAGACAGCCAAGGATTCGGGGCAGACTCACTCTCTAAGCTCATCTCTACAAGTCTACACTACCTGATCTCCGTTGCTCTTCAAGCTCCTGATTCTCAAGCTGATCTTTTAGTGCTCTCATAGTTCATTCAAAACCAGTGTAAAATAGTATTGTATAGTGATTTCCGGTTACACATGTAAGTCTGTATATTTTTCACCAGTGTTTTTCATCCTGTTTATAGCTTCATTTCATTCCTGTTGTTTTTCATACCGATACTCACCCGACCTGTGTAAAGAATCCAGAACTCTAAATTGAATAAACGGATTTTGTGATTGCATATTTCATATTTCCTTCTCTGTTGTCATTGTTTTCAGTTCCAAATAGTTCAATAATTTATTTAGTGATTTTCAATATTTTCATTTGTCAAAATTGCAGAATATTATTATTGACTGACGACTGACACTGACAAACCAGTTAACAACTCTTCTTCTTCTTTTCCTTGAGAAATCCAGTCCTGTGCACCGGTGTCTCTGTGCTTGGTATCCCGTCAGGCGGTGTTCTATGTTTCATGAACTATTGACATTAATGCCATTAATGGAAAATATAATTAATTAACCTCACTAAATATCCGATATTAGAAAATTAGAAAAATCGAAGGAAAAGAAAAGATAAATAGAAATTGAATCTGTTTAATTCGTTTAGAACTGTGTTTCCGATTCTCCAGGTAGAAATAATGAAATAGTTGAATAAATAATTTTCCAGACCTAACCTTAAAATATCAAAGACCTGAGAGATATTTTGCTTTGATTCCTGTAATTATCCAGACCAGAAATAGCAACCAGTATTCCAGGCTAGACCCAGGGTTTGTAATTAAAGCCTACACTCCCTTGGCTACTTATTGATTCCAGGTCGATTCAATACCATTGACCCCTGGATTATACTGTGGGTACCGAGGTAGGTATACCTCCTGTACCTTTCTCCACTGTTGCTACTGTGGGCCTCCTTCCCGACTAAGTTGGGAGGAGCAGGTGAAGTAAATCACCTTTATCAAAAATCTGGCGCTCGAGAATCCCCCCTGTCAAATACCAGAGTAGTCTCCTGTCCTGAACAGAGCGTCAAAGTAAGGGCCCCAGAATAAAGACTCTTACAGTTTCACAGAGCAACTTCTGAGAATCACTCGCCATCAGTACTTCACAAACCATGGTGCGTTCAATAATCTTTTTTTTTTGTGGAAATATCAATAGCTCTAAACATTTTTTTTTTCATGTCATTCATTGTGTCATTATGTGTAATCGAACTCCCCATTCACTACTCCAATTTCGGAAACACCCTGTATATCAAGAATCTTTGATATCATATGGCTTACAGAAATCGTCTGATCAGTAGTTTTGGCGCCCAACGAGGGGTCTTCCACACACAATGTTACAATAATTATTATTAGATACTGCTCTTTTATCTGTTGCGATTTGTATGCTTTATGAGTAGGAGGATAACGATTATAAGATGAAAAAGTTGATTTTTGTTACAGAATTTACTAGACAATAAAAAATCTAGTAACCCGAAACATGGGTGGAGAAAAACTTCTGATTATCATCAACCTTACTGATGAAATGAGATCTGCAAAATTAGTTGAACGGTTGGATAGAAAGGGAACTCTGAAATTTCGAGTAACATGTGGTTTCCTCTTGAGTGAGGAAAGAAAATGAAGGGACACAATTCCGATCATTTTCGTTTCGGAAAATGACCGAATGAAAAGATTTTGTGACGCCAACTTGGTAATCTCACGATACAATATTTTGCAATGCTTCATTGAATACTTGTCGATCGATTATAAGTGATGGAATTATTATTTGATAGTATATTCATCAATGAAACTTAGAAATTGTCTGCTACTCCCATTATGAAATGCTTTTCATGTAATACAATATTGCAAGTGTTTTCAGAATCCACGATAGGCTTTGAACATGTAGTGTTGTTGATAGGAAGAATATATAAAATTTTGGCGCCCAAAGTGGGGTTTCCCCAACACACAACTAACAATGATCTAATCAGTCTACTGGATTTCCTTCAAAGATGCCAAGCTGAATGAACAAACATTTTGTTTCTAGGTTGGAAAATCATCGAAACGGAAGCTCTTCGGCGATGACGTCAACGAACCCAACTCGACCCATTCCAGCATGCAAAAATCGCGCAGCAACATGACAACGCTGGAACGCAAAGAATCTAAATCGCCCAAACCCAAACAACCGCGCACCAAAAAACCTTCCGCCTTAAACTTCAGTCCAGACAAAATACAAACACAACTGGAACAAAAAATTGTCTCGGATTCCCAAAGCGATCCAGAGTTGATACATAAAATCGAGAACAAACATCAGAAATTCGGAGTTAGGGTGCTACCAATGGAAATCCAGCAGAAGAGCCCCAAAATCCTGGAACAGAACGAAAACAACATCAACATCGAAAAAAACCAGCTCAACGCGCCTATATTGAGCATCGACGAGGTGGACGACCCAAAAAAACCACCCCCGGTGAGACGGCGCGAGAAGAAACAATCGGGGGAAACCCCGGAGAAAGCAGACAACTTTGACAGAAATAGCCTCAACGGTTCTGGCATCAAGAGAACCAAGGAAGGTATACCTCTGGAGCTCCCAGCACACATGCTCAACGCCGCCTCAGCCGCTTTAAGAAACCGCGAAGACGACTCCAAAAACAAGAGAAAGGGCAGAGCACCCGCAGTACCCGAAGAAACCCGAAACACCCCGACACCTTCGAAAGAATACAATTCGGACTCAGACGCCGAAGAAAATCACTCATCAGTGAACACCATAGAGCTGAACGCCACAGAAATCACCATCCACCAGATTGAGGACGAACAATTACAAAACAGAAAAACCCTCAGCGCCGGCGATCTCTCGCAGATACGCCGCCAGAATTCCCCGATCGGAACCCTAGAGAGGGCTCAAAGCCTCGACATCCCCGACTCAGAAGAAGTGCTCCACAAAGAGCCTAGGCTCTCTCTGATCCTCGACGGTCTCAGCACTTTCGAGCGCAACAGGCTGAAGAAATCCTCAGAGTGGGGGCAGCTCGAAGACGCCATTTTGAAATCGAAAGAAGAAGATCCGGACGAGGAGTTCGATGCCGTCATCAATAAAGTTAACGAATTGAGAAGGGAGAGCCGAATGGAAGAGCCGAAGATCAAAAATCAGATATGGCCCAGCTTCGATGGACATTTGAACGGTTCTATGGCACAGCGAGCTGAGAAACCGGTCTCAGATGACGGTTTCGTGAGGAGAGAGCGAGCGGTTGCCGAAAAAACCGTTACAAAGCCGTTACCGCCGCCAGTTCGTAAAACTGTGAACAACAGGATCGACGAACCGTTCGAAGCTGCAAGAAGCAATACCAAGGCTGTTGCTTCTTTGGAAGCCGTTAACACGGATCAAGTGAAGCTGCCAAGAACCGGTTATTCCGGTCAGTTACCCGAGTTCTCGAGAGTTGAGGATGAAACAGCTCCGAACAATCTAGATACTGTTGATTTCGGACCACATAGAAGTGTTCAAGATAATGCCGCGGGAGGTGATAACTACTTCGCCGAAAACGCTCCAACCGATAAAGAAACTGATAACATAGTGCCAAACAAAAGTAGCCTAGAGCAAACTGTAGCCGAGCTTGAAACAGCTTCGAAAGTCCCCGAAACGATCAATTTAGTGCCTCATAGAAATGAACAAACGAATCCAATAGAAAGTCATGACTTTATCAAATCTAACATACCTGAATCTCAAGCAGTTGGAATATTAACAGCTTCAAAAGACCCAGACACAATTGATGCAGTGCCTTATAAAAATTATCAAGAGATGACAATAAAAAATAATGACTTCGTGAGGTCTTACACTTCTATAGAATTTCCAGCAGCTAAAAGTAGAACAGCTTTAAACGAGACCGAAACTGTCAATATAGTGCCACACAGTTTTCAAGTGAAAAAGTCAGCTGAGCATAAAACAGCTGCAAAAGACTCCGAAAGTGTTGATGTACTACCTAATTCAATAGAAAATTATTTCACATCTGAATCTCAAGTAGTTGGAAATGAAACAGCATTGAATAACTCAGGAACTGTTAATCTAGTGCCTCACCTCACTCCACTTGAATTTCCAGCAAATGAAAATAAAATAGCTTCAAAAGAGACAGAAACTGTAAAAATAGTCCCACATGGAAGTAGTTATGGAAACACTATAGCCGGGTATGAAACAGCTTCGAAAGACTCTGAAACTATTAATGTAGTGTCTCATAGAAATAACCAAGAAACAGCAATGAAATATAATGACTCCATCACCGCACCTGAATCTCAAGTAGTTGGGATTTCAACAGTTTCTGAAGTCTTTGAACCTATCAACGAAGTGCAGTATAGAAATGGTCGTGAGGAGTCAAAAGAATTTTCAACAGCCGAAAATAACACTTCAAATGAGACAAAAATCGTCAATATAGTGCCACATAGAATAAACCAAGAGAGAACTGCGGTAACCAATGACGTAGCAAAGTTTTCCACGTCTTTGGAAGTCTCATTGGACGATGATGAATCAGCTTCGAACGGCTTGGACTCTGTTCACGTAGTGCCACAGGAAAGCAGGCAAATGAAGCCTTTTGCAATGTCTAACACACCCGACTCACCTTCAGTTGAAGTTGAGAAAACTCCAAGTGACGTTGAAAATTGGAACGCTAAGTCTTACACATCTATCGAATTTCCGCTGTCAGAGGATACAAAAGCCTCGAATAATACAGCTGGATTTGGAATTCACCGAGAAAATTCGCCCGTAAAGGATAAAACAGCTTCGAACGATCATGAAGCTTCGTACGGAAGTACTCCAATTGAAAGTGTAAGAACCAAGTCTTACACATCGTTCGAAATACCGATGAACGAGGATAGAAAACCATCGAATCGCTTAGAAACAGTTGCCGTAATACCTGATAGAACCAATCGCAGACAACGGCAGCCAGAGGACGTTGAACCGAACCAACGGGAACCGGCTAAACCCGGCGAAGTTCTATCGAAAATCCCGCTCCTGAACTCCATGGTGGCCAATCAGAAGAGAGAGTCCCGCGCTGGCAACGTCTCGGACGAGACCAAAACCGCAGCGACGCTGAACACGGCAGGCCTCACGCACAACTTCCTCTACACGGAACAGCTCAACTCCTACTCATACGGCATCACCAACGTGCCAGATGACGTCAAAGTGTCGTATCTGGTGCCGGACGACGTCAAATCCTTGACAAACGTCAACGTCACCAAGATATCGAACGGGGACAACGAGCTGCACAGCTTGGAGTTGAGCGTCAACGAGAACAGCGACTTGTACAGCACGGCTGTGGAGTCGACTTTGAGGTTAGGTAGTGCGGACGCGGAGAGGAGTTACGTGACGGAGATACGAGTGACGCCGAACGGTTCGGGCGAAAGTGGCGCGGTACCTACTGGGCGGGGTTTCGCGGTTGCGGATGGGAAAGTTGAGGGGGAAAAGGAGGAGAAATCGGGAGAAGCGGCGGAAGAGAACGAGTTGGAGAAGATCAAGGAGATCGCGGAGCGGCAGTTGAAGAAGTTGCCCGAGATGCGGTTCACCACTTCGAGCTATGAGCCGTCCAGGTAGGATTATGGAAATATCGTTTTTCATATTTTGAATGCATGATATTTTGATACAGTCGTTCGCCTAATCGTTACATATAGGACATGTGGATGGCAATATAGCTATACAGACTGATTCGGTCGGTTCTATCGTATTCGCCAGTGTTGCCAGATCGAGAATAAGATGGGCTATACACATAAAAAAGCGGATTCAGAAATAAAACGGTAGATATACCTGGAAAAGTGCAGTTTTTGCCAACTATTAGTGGTTTAGTAGTTAAGTAATTAATTAACAGGTGTGAAAAAGAATAATTAGATAATCATCATTCTTGTATCCTCTAACCGAGAATCATGAAGCTTCAGAAAAGATGACTCGGAGAAACAATCAACATAATAACGTAATATGGAATGAAATTGATATTAGAGAGTTGAAGTAATCACTGTACGTAGACCTCCACGTAGACGTTAACGTACGAAAAATAACGTTTACGTATTGTCGTTAAATTGAGTTGAAGTCGCCACTTTGGTCGTCACTGTCATTATAACGTAATAATACATTTTGTTTTCGGTTTGTATTGGTCATTTTTGGTTGTGTGTTTAGATTCGAATATTTATTCCTGTCAAAATTAGAGGACTCCTTGATGCAGAACTCGTTGGTGATCTCGAATTTGATAATTTTGACTCATCGGCATATTTCGAGTATAGTTTGGTTAACGTACGTTGATATTTAAGGTATACGTGAAGGAACGTGAGATAACGTACACCCGTAAGCCCACTAACAACGCAAACGTGAAAAATTGGAAAATGCGCATGCGTAGCTGTCAATTTCTACGTTTACGTTAACGTTCATGACAACACTTCAACTCAACGTAACCAGTTAGAAAACGCGAGATCCCACAAAACGCAAAGTTACACAAAATATGTTTCCTAGCGTGTCACGTACAAAACTTTCTTGGAATTTTGATGAAAAATTTCGATTGAATAAAATATTTATTCATTTATTTATTTATTGGAAATGTTACTTCCAGTATGAATCAAGTTCTGGTATAAGGAAGTATAGTTAACAATAATACCTAAAACTATACAATTATAATAAACTAATGAATAATATAATATTTGAAAACATTAATTATCAAATTTTGACAAATCATTTCATGTTGGTGAGCAAAAATCAATTTGAATATGAATCAAAAGTTGAGAAAAAAAAGTCATTTGTTTCGTTCAGAAATGATAAATTTTTCAAGATGGTATTTGAATTTTATAATATTTCTGCAATTTTTTATATTATCTGGTAATTTGTTATATTCCAAGAGAGCAGCGTGGGTGAATCTTGTTTGGCCTATAGAAGTATTAGCGATATCAAGATGAAATAAACCATGTTGTCTAGTTTGATAATTATGAATTTCATTGTTTCGTGTTGAAATAAAATTAGATTTAAATCTTTTATTTATGATATTGTATGTAATTTTCAGTCTACCAATTCTCTACTAGTAGGCAAGTTGACTTCGCACGTCACTTTGAAGTATCCGTCAAACAAAAATATGGTCACAAGTCAGCAAGAATGTGGCTGAAAGAATCGGTCATATGTGTTACCAATTTTTTAAATCACCGTGCATGAAATGTATAAATTGGGATTCATGATGGAATGAGAATAGAATATTGCCTGTCTTAATAATTTCATCGATATTTCATTATTACAACGAATTTTCAGACATCAATGAAATATTTTCATGTTTTACTCTGTAAACAATTCCATAAATCTGAATCATCTGAATTATATCGAAAAATATGGAGGTACGTTTATGATATGTGTATGTATAGTCCGTTGTATGCAAATCAAGAAAAACAAAGCTCAAATCACAGTTCCTTTTTAATCCTTTAAATTTGGATTCCTGGTCAAGACAATGAATAGCTAAAAAAGTTAAGGGTATCTCCCAAGAAGTAATGAGTTTGCGCATTCGAAGTGCCCACATGATGTTAGGTTTATATTTGTTATTTACATTTCATCATCCACAATAAATATTCTGAGACTCACGAGTCCCAGAAGACGAACTCTAATAGTGAATATCCAAAGTAACTAAGTATAGAGTTCAATGTCTGATTGATTGATGTTTTATGTTCAAAGTGACATAGGCTATATTCCGAATGCAACTGGTCAGTAGGTACTGTCAGTAAATCCACCGACTCTGCTGAAAATCTGTGCTCAGAAATATAAAATCAAAATCAGTGTTGTAATTCCGAACACGTTTCCATGGTTTCCATCAGTAATCAGCAGCAGTTGATCAGGTGAAATTTGAATATCATTCTCAGCGTCAATTATTTCAATAACAGACATTTTATGATATCAAATATGATATTATTGATTTATTATTGATAAGACAAGACTGAATGTTTCAGAAACAACCGAAATAAATTATACCGGGTGGCTACGGAAGTATTGCCTACGCCCTACGGAATATCTCAGTTATTGTATGAAGTAGGTTTGTGAAATTTGGAGCGTCGATATAATGACATAAGAGCTAGAATTTGAGCATATTGACATGTCGAAGTTAACTTCCGGTCTGACCGGAAGTAACATCAACTTTCTTATTTTAAATGGAAACCCTATTTTTTTTTCTTTTCGCTTTATTCAGCATTCAATTCCCTATCTGATGACATATCACAAGTTGGTATCTTGAATTTTTTTTTCGATAAATCCGTTTTTTTGTTATTTGAAGAATAATTATTGGATTTTTTGGTATTTCATTTCAAAAAATGACTTTCTATTATATCATTAGAAAGAAATGGTTATGCTGAATAGTACAGGCAAGAAAAAGTTTTAGTTCCTATTTAAGTTATGGACCTACAGAGTATTGTTTTTTTCCCAATTTTTCCAATATTTTTTTTGGCGGCTTTTTATAACGCCGACGAATGAAAATAAAATATCACAGTAGTAGCAACTGTTATCAACTGACGTATGGTTTCCATAGCAAACTTTTCAATTTTTGGCTTTCATTTTGCTTCCACGGCCTACTCGGTGAATTTCAATAATAATTTTTTTCTGATCTAGTTTCTGGTTATATGCCAACTTGTGATATGTCATTAGAAAGGGAATTGAATGCTGAATAAAGCGAAAAGAAAAAAATTAGGGTTTCTATTCAAAATAAGAAAGTTGATGTTACTTCCGGTCAGACCGGAAATTAACTTCGACATGTTAATATGCTCAAATTCTAGCTCTTATGTCATTATATCGACGCTCCAAATTTCACAAACCTACTTCATACAATAACTGAGATATTCCGTAGGCAATACTTCCGTAGCCACCCGGTATATTCCTTCCTCATCTGAAATAATGACAGTTCACTGAAGCCACACTACCTTTTGATAGTCAGCAATTTCAGCAAAATGTTGAGTCGAAATATTTGGAGTGGATAGTATGTCTGCTTACAAGTATCTGTAATTTTCAGTGAATTTTTTTGATTTCTGAATGAAAAATCAGCAGATTCAGTAGTGTCAGTTGAATTCAGGTGTAGGAATGCCGGACAAAACAATACAGGCAGATGCACCTCCATAGTTGAGGTCTGATCAATCAAAAAGTGCATAACCATTGCCTCTTCCTTTCATAAAGTCACTAGTGTTGACTCCCATTCCAGTCAGCAGCCAACAGTTACCTAGTTACTTGCGCGATCCGCTCGTACATTTCAACAACCTCACTTTTGCAGGATCCCTGAGAAGCGACACTCGAACATCGAGCATCTCCGATCGAACTTCGAGAAGCCGAAGCTGCAGCGGCAAGAGTCGAAGTCCAGGATTCCGATAGCGACGACGCACAAGACGCCGCCGACGTCGCCGGAGCGTCGCGATTCGCGTCACCTTGACGCCGAGCAGGACGAGGCCATTCTGGAGCTGATGGCGGCGTCGGTCAGTTCGACGCCCGCCAAGTACCAGGTGAGTCGTTCGCAAGTTTATTTATTAATTTATTCCGAGATTTATTCATTTATTTATTACCGGACAAGCCAATTATGCAATTTACAAAACGAAAGTATAAAAATACAGAGCACTTACATATCATTATATCTATGAAGAAGACTAACACAAAAAAATGTAGAAGGCTAAAACGGATAAAAAGATAAGGATAATGAAATGAGTGATTTTCATGAAATTTGTTTGGTGATTGTATGTTTTTTTATGTTCTGGTTCCCACGAAAACGGATATCCTGTAATGTTCAGAGAACATCATAAGAACCAATGGAAATAAGGTAGGAATTGGAGTTCTTAAATTTCTGGAGATTATATGCCTCGGGGAACACCTCCCTTGGCAATGTGTTCCAGAGCCTCGTTGTTCGTTGGATGAACGAGTCTTTGGAAAGAGATGTTCTGCAGGTGTCCAAAGTGACCGCGAAGGGGTGCGAAGCCTCAACTCGACGGGTTAATCTCGCGGGGACTGCCACGGGAGAAACAATTGTTGATATTTCAGAAGAGCATCGTCCATGAAAATATCTATAAAATAGAGCCAGATCACCTACTTTTCTACAATGTTCCAGAGAATGAGTGAGTATGTGAGCAAGGCATCACCCACGAGACGAAATGCCCTTTTTTGGACAGAATCCAACAGTTTCAGGGTATGTTTGGGTGCTGCACTCCAAATATGGGAACAGTATTCCAGGACAGGTCGAATCTGTGCCTTATAGATCATAAGCAGCTGACTGGAAGTGATATAGCTCTTGGCCCGAAACAGAAAACCAAGTTTTTGGGATGCACTTTTAGCAATTGATCTCATGTGATTTTCCCAAGGAAAGTTATTGCTGATAGTAATACCAAGGATCAATTCTAGCACCAACACTATTCCTTCTCCATATCAACGATTTGTTGGAAGCAACTTCATGTCCAGTAGGTACACAGATTCGCGGATGATAGTACCCTATACCGCCTTCTCTTCCAGGGCTCCAATACCAGCCAGGCAAATCAGAAACGAACGAGGGAGAAATGTTGACAACATAAATATGGACTTAGCAACAATTTTCGAATAGCGATCCAATAACTTGGTAGATTTCAATGCAAAAAAAAACAAGAATACCTTTTCTCTAGAAAAGCCGATCTCACTGTGCACAACATAAGCTTGTCAGGAGTAACCATACCTTTGAAGACATCCATTTCAATGCTTGGTATTACTATCAGCAATAATCTTTCTTGGGAAAATCACGTGAGATCAATTGCTAAAAGGGCATCCCAAAAACTTGGTTTTCTGTTTCGGGCCAGGAGCTATTTCACTTCCAGTCAGCTGCTTATGATCTATAAGGCACAAATCCGACCTCTCCTGGAATGCTGTTCCCATATTTGGAGTGCAGCACCCAAACATACCCTGAAACTGTTGGACTCTGTCCAAAAAAGGGAAATTCGTCTCGTGGGTGATGCATCGCTCACAAACTCACTCACTTCTCTGGGACACCGTAGAAAAGTTGGCGATCTGGCTCTATTTTATAGATATTTTCATGGACGATACTCTTCTGAAATATCAACAATTGTTCCTACCTTGGCAGTCCCCGCGAGATTAACCCGTCGAGTTGAGGCTTCCCACCTCTTCGTGGTCACTTTAGAGACCTGCAGAACATCTCTTTCCAAAGACTCGTTCATCCAACGAACAGCGAGGCTCTGGAATACATTGCCAAGGGAGGTGTTCCCCGAGGCATTTAACCTCCAGAAATTCAAGAAGAACACCAATTCCTACTTTATTTCCCTTGGTTCTCACGATGTTCTCTGAACATTACAGGATATCCCTTATCGTTGGAACCAGAACATAAAAACAAATTTTAAAAAATGCCTCTCCTTTCAGTTCCAGCCCAGACAGCCGCCCGCCAAGAACGTGACTGTCACGTCGATCAGAAGCCCCGCCCCTTCCAAGCTGCCCTCTGGCCTGCCAACCCTCGGGGGCGGCCGGTCGCCCCCGCGCAAGACCGAGGGCAGCTCGGGCGGCAGTCGAGGTCCGAGTGATGGCCCCGAGAGTCCCTTCAAGCGGTGGGTGTTCGACGCGTCGAACGTCACCAACGTCACTGTCACTGACGACAGGCGCGAATAGAATTATGCAGGAAGCGTAATAACTAACAACTGTTAGTGTTGTTCATAATCAGATGATTTAGATGATCGAATTCTGGCGATTCCATGGATTTTAAGAACCAAATCATCATACGAATTATCAATTATTATTGCTGAATAGTTATCAAGTGTCAGTCGTCACTCGTCAGATAGTCAGTGATCATGTCAGTAGCATATATCTACTACTCATATATGAAGCATAGCTGTCCTCAAAGCGGGACCAACTTCTGTCTCTGTAACGAAATCGATCAATAGGCGTTGATGCTGAAGTAGGGAAAAAATAATACGACAATATAGCTACTGATTTCAAATTTTCCATCCTTCACTTTCCGTCCTTACAGATTCAAAGAGTACCTCTAATTTTGGTCCCATTTTCGTTAAGATATCGTATAGGCGATGCGCCATATATAGAAATAGTAGATATATGATCAGAAGTCACTGATTCAAAATTCAACGAGTGTCTCTCGACAGTTCAATACATACAGTATTCTGGCTTTCAAAGCACACAATGCGAGATTTAAATTCTTTCTTCAAATGTGAATTACTGGCTATATTCCGAATCAACTGACAGTACTGTATATGCAGACTTTTCATTCCGAAATCCAGATAGTTCATTGAAAGTGACAGATACTTGCGAGCAGACATACTGATCAGTCCAAATATCGGGGGTCTGGGGATCGATCATGAATAGTTTTATTTCAATTTTGTTTTCTCAAGTAATTTCCCGAAAATATTGCTAGGAAGGTAGATTTAGGCTGAGTTGGGTTAGATTGTTAAAAAAAAGTAGCATCGTTCCTAATGCTAGGTGCAGATGGATTGATCATAATGATATAATACTATTACTGATAGAAAGTTCGTTTCAAGGTCAATAAGTAAAAAATGTAGCAGTTTGAACATTTTATAGAAAAAGAGCTGTTATTTGTTCAGTAGAACTATAAAACTGTGAATGTGAACAGCAGTCCGCGCTTTATCATTAATCTTTCCACTGTGAGTTATAATAAGCTGTCGTCTGTATGCAGAGAGAATATTCAACTTCCTCAATTCTTTATATTACTAAATAAATATATAAATCTCAAATGCATTTCCACAAAAGTTCAAAAATGAACGAAACTGATTGATAACGAGAGAAAAACAACTACTTTCCTAGCTATATGCCACGCAGAACATTGAATTACCTCCTCCCGAAGTCTATGCCACGACTCTTATAGACTAATAATAAGTTTAACTTTGGAAGCCAAATAATGGATGATGTGCGGGAACTGTCTGCAGGCACTTATAGCGAATTCCATTCGGTTTTGCACCCGCACTACGTTACTTCTCTTGTGAAAATGTGAACTGGTGCATTCCCAATGGAATACGAAATGATAATATAATAAAATTATTGCTGGAGGTTAAATCGGGAAAGTTGGTTTGTCTTTAATTGTTTATAACAAGTCCTCATCCTGAAATTTTTTCTTGACTTCAATTAAGAACAAAGTAAATGTTTCATGAAAATAATTTTGAATTCTGGGTAAGTAATCTCCTTTATTTTATCGACACTTCCAACTATTCGTCACTATTCGATGATGATAATCAAATTGCCACTAACAATTTGGTTTTCAAACTATTCATAATGTTTCCGCCATTTTCAAAACTGCACTGACTTCGCACGACCTAAAATAGAGCTCGTGCGAGAATTGTTGCACTGAGCTCTGTACTACGTGAACCAGTTTTCCAATGGAATTCAAAACCCGACACCAGTTTTACCAGTGGAATTCGAGATATGCACTCAGTACGAGCCAGTTTTGCCAATGGAATTCGCTATCAGAAACAAGAAAAACACAATTTATGGGATTTCCATCATTCGAACCATACTAGTGCAAGTAGAGCAGCTGCAGCCATCAGGTATATTTAGTAAATGTGTTACGCATAGACAAAGACAACTATACAAATAAGGATTCTGAGGATATTCTCGAGAATGTTAGAACATCCATAAGAAAATATTCTTGACAATATTCATAGAACATCTTCGGAATATGTCCTGAGAATATTTACTATGATCGATATCACCACATACATCACTGATGTTATTGCGTATGACATCGTATTTTTTCATTTCATGGTACCATGGTACCCAGAATGAGATCACTAAATTAAATATATTATATTTTTATTATTCGAGAGGTGGAGATGTAGTGTCATTTTTAAACTTATCGGTTACCTAATTTTCGCAAACTATCGGTAGTTTCGATAGTGGACATTTTCAAAAAACTACCGATAGTTTCTCAACTTTAGTTTCTACTTCATCATTTATCTACGAATGCGTGAAAATGCCAATAAAAAAGCACGAATTACTTTATAACTTGCAATTAGTCGAAATTCTGCATTTGAAACTTGCACTAATTCGAATTCACGAGAGGCTCGCGCCAGTTATGATGGCTGGCGCTTTGTTCAAATGTTTCATGGCTGCTACTACGCAGTCTGTAGGCTGCAGAAGTTTCGAATTACTGCAAGGTGTAAGGTGAAATCATTCAACATTTTTTCAGATGGCCCTTCTACGCTTTAGTAACAACCATTTTACGCGCGAATCAAGTACTTAACTTTCCTTAAACACTATAAGATCTAGGTATCTACATTTTTTTTTAAATTTTTGTCTGATTCATAAGATCCAGCTATTATGATAGCATTTGAGTGAAGTACCAAGTACCTATGGCAAAGAGGGATGTCCAATTATTGATAAAAAAACCCTCTGTAGTATTATAGCTATATCAGGGTGCCCCTCTGGGAGGTCTATACAAAATCTCAGCACATATTCCTGAGGTCAAGATTAGCTGACTTAAAGCAACTTACTCTTGTCCGAAATTGCTTCGTTTCCAAGATACAGGGTGGTCAAGTTTAAAAATAGAAATCGAACCTTTCAGAATTTTTGAAAATTTTCGAGTGAATTTTACTTCAAAAATTGGTTTCCAGGTTGTTTTTTGGGATGTGAAATAGGAATGGCGATCTTTGGAAAAAGGAACGATAAAAAATTCAAAGGTAAATAATCAATTTTCAGTAATATCGATCCTCGATTAAATCATAGAAAATTTTTAACAATATACATGGAGAAGTGTGAAAAAGATCTTGACTCCTGAAAATATGATAATTGAATGATCAGAAATTACCAACTAGCTTGAGAGAACATTAATAATACCTCATTTTATTTGGACAGCTCTCGTAGTTGAGTGAAAAAACTTGTTTCTCATTATAGTCAGATATATTATTCAGTGTGTATTTTGGTTGGATTGGATTTTATGTGAAAAAAATCCATTCACCTGATGAAGATGGAACACAAGAAGATCGATCTAAAAGATTGATATTTTTAGATGAAAAGATCGATCTGAAACCCGAGTATGAACACCTTTTCACTGTTGCCTCTAGAGGGCGCTTACCAATTCACTTCTTATGGTTGAGACTTTTTTCTCAGTGTAGTTTTTTACTCTGAGGTGAGTTGTTTGAATCGGCATATTTTGACTTCAGGAATTTGTGCTAAGATTTTGTCGACCTAGAATTCTTATCCTGGGAATATCCACTAAGAATATACATTTCTGTCCAATTCAATACAAAATATAGTACCTCTACAATGAATTTATTATCATAACTCAAACATAATATTCTAAATCAGTGAGTATTGTCCTTTTCAAAATTTTAAAATATTTTTTGTGTGCTAAAATTGCAAAAATAATTTAGGCATTATTGGGTGGCACATTTTAAAGTGTGAGTATTGTCCTTTTCAAAATTTTAAAATATTTTTTGTATGCTAAAATTGCAAAAATAATTTAGGCATTATTGGGTGGCATATTTTAAAGTGAATGAGTATATTTAGTTTTAGGTAGAATGAGCAATATTTTTTATAGGTTTAAAATAAAACAAATAAGTATGTCATGTCATATATGATTGTGAAACCTACATATGCTCAAATATTTTTATTACAGTTGTTAATGATATTTTTGTATATATTGTATTGATGCCTATATATTTTATAAGTATTGTTGAAGGTTCTACAGATTTTAATGGTGAATTAAATATATATTTTGTAAATATATTGAAATATATCAAATTATTTATAAATTGTGAGTTTTAATATAACAAAAATCTTCCTAAATCCCCAATAGTGTATCATGTTTTTGTTGGTTTGAGACAAGAAAGGATTTATAGTCCCTGTTTTATCTTTGTATGATCAGAGGAAAACATGAAAACTCAAAATCACAGCCTTCCTGGTGACAACATACAGGGCAATTAATGAATATTAGTATATTTTGTGCATTTGGAAAACAGCTGTAATTATTATCCCAAAACTGGTAAAGACAGCCAAGATAGGCATACCAAACTATTAGGGAAAGTCAAAGGGAAAGCTATAGTAATTATTAATCATTCATTACATCATACCAACCCAGGAAAGCTTCAACAATGATATACTGCATGTTTTCAATCATCCTCCCTTCAAGAAAAACATTGTATATTGTTAAGTAAAATAAATCCAAATTGTTTTCATGCTGAAGACTGTCTGTAGTTTTTTGTACTCATAATTTTTTTTCCACACATAGCACATATGCCTTTTTTATAAGCACAAGATTGGCAATAATGAGAACCTGCCTGATGGACTTTTTGTCTGCATATCCTGCAACAAAATTCACTTTCCATAGTTTTTCTTAGCTTAAAGGAGAGTCTCCTTCAACTCATAGTCCAATGATCTCACCTGCAAGTTTGGAATGTGGTAGTGTATGGATTGAACCGATTCTTTGAAGCTGTAAGAGCTTTATTCTCATTCACTACTCGACCTCCGGATTCAGTAGTATTTCTGGCACCTGTTTTCCACGGATCGGGAGTAATAACTTTTCCACATTTTGCTTGGCATTTATCACAAACCATTCTGAATTGAACTGTTTTTTTCTAGGAAAAAGTCCTAGTGTGAAATCTTATATTTCCAAATAGCACCTAGAATTGGAAATAGGCACATCAGAAAAAAACATTGTTATACTATAGAAACATAATTGAGCATTATTGAAATAAATTATTATTATTTTAATCGTGATTATTTACAATACAATAATATTTTTCTTCTTCTTCTTCTTTCTTTCCAATGGCCTCTGCTCTATAAGGCGACTGGCCAGCACATTCCTTTTGATTTGTTTGGATAGAGTAGGCCCTGGCTAAGGGCTAAGACCGTAGACTGCTGATTGCTGCTGCTAAAGCTGCGTCCACATTATAGTCAGTCGACGTCGATCGATGTCGATCGACATTGATCGGCGACGACCAATGAACACGAACAACACGTCTACACTATCGAAGTAGTGTAGACAGGTTGTACTACGTCGATCGACTTTGATACAAACTAGGAATATTTCTTCGCATCCACTCCCCGTTTTCCGTGAATCCTTCAGCTTCTTTCTTTCTCGAGCAAATGTAGTTTGCAAATTTGTTATCTTCCTTTCTACATCTCCTTTATCTCTATTGCCAATGCCACCACTATTTTTCCATCATCATATCATGTCTTTCGTTTTTGTTTCTGTACTCCATTTGAGTAGGACTCCGTAGTATTGGGCGAACTCGATACATATCAATAAGTGTCATTAGTGAAACTCATTTCATAAATTAAACAGATGCGACTTATTTTAACACACACCCTTCCTGAATCACATTCAAATCAAAACTGACGTACCAAACCACCAACTTCTCGTTCGACGTCTATCAATCCGTCCACATAATTTTCATTCGACCAATATCCTTTGATGAGAGCCGACAATTTTTGATTCTCAGTCGACGCCGATCGATGTTGATCTACGTTGACTGGAATGTCGATCAACCTCGATCGATGCGGCCATTATTGTCGGCTAAATGTGAGAGAAAATCAAGTTGCAGGCAACTTGATTTTTTCTCACATTAGCCGACAATGCTGGGGTAAAAGAAGGAGGACTTGTGTACCAAATTCCAAAAGAATATACTGGGTGATTCGTGATAGTTTTCGTTATTCAATTGGGAAAACTCAAAACATTTCATATTTACCTATCCAAATGCATGAAACCTCATATTCAAAATCAGAAATTACCTCTAGTGAAATAGCATGCGGAAAAATGGAAAGTACATCATACGATTCAGATTTTCATGCACTTTCCAAATATGTGAACGGATTTTGGAAATTCGAAAATACAGGGTGATATTTTTGGGGTCCAGGTATATGATCGATTTTCGTTGATCCGGTCCTGGATTTTTCTCGTGACTGATAGGTGAGTCGCTTTGGTAGAAGAAGGCGAAATTGTGTACCAAATTCCAAATGAATATACTGGGTGGTTTGTAAGTTATGTACTCACAAAGAATTGAACAAAATTGATAAAACACCCTATATCTCGGACTTGCGAGACCCTACAAATATGGTATATTCAGAACCACCTTGATGAGCTCTCTACCCACTGTTGAAGTGTTTCCGTTTCCCAATGGGACACCCTGTACATGGTGTTCACTCACACTGTTTTTGTTGTCAAAGTGATGTTAAGATTTCTGGAACATAATTTCGAATTCAGCGACATCAATCACTCAATCAGGTTGCATAACGCGCGACGCGTTAAGCAAAAACGATGCATTGAGAACTCCCCTTAAGCGGTTGAAGAAGCGCGATATTAACTAGAATCGTTCCGATTGGTCTTGAAAAGCGTCTATACGCAAGTCATGGTTGACTGAATTTTTACGACTTCGACTTTACGTTGAATTGTCGGCCCGACGGCCGGTGTGCTTTCCTTTCCTTTGTTTACTAAGCTTCAAGAAGGCAAGATTGTGTTTTGTTTATTGTTTAACCTATTAATGTTTTTATTCCTATGTGAATTTCGAGGTGAAGCTGTTGTGATTGTTATTCCAGTTCTTCCAACTTGAATCGTCTATCCTGTTTATGCAGTACTATTGAAATTGGTAAGCAAATTTGATGATTTAATCGGGTATAGTTTATCCAAAAACAATTGCAGAATCTCGTGTCGCACCTGCAGTCACTTCAAAGGAAACTTCAAACACGCCGACGCCGCACTGTGCGGGATATTCTGCAATTGATATTGGATATACTTTACCCATCAACCGAGGTAAATATATGAAAATATTACCTTGGGATCTTGGCAAAGCCTCCTTAAACTACGCTGGGGCCTTTGGCATACAAGAATTCAGGATCAGTGTAAAACCAGCAACAAGTTCCTTCCACGACTTCGCCAATTATTCCAGGTGCGCGCCATACCATTTAGCGGGCACACAATAGTATTTTTCTGCAACCGACACAAAAGTCGTCCATTTTAATACCAAAATTAGCTCTTGAATTGACGTTTCTATTACTGACAAAAAATAGGTATGTTGCTGGGCAACACATTCAGTTCCTAGGAGCCAGAGATTAGGAGCTGAAGTTGAACTTTAGTTCCTAGGAGCTGAAGGATGTACAAGAGGTCTGATTGGCATTTCATACCCATACTGAAGATATAAATACATCTTAGTTAGTATAGTCTTTGAGTATTCACACTAGTGTGTACAGGGTGTCCCATTGGGAAACGAAAAAACCGAGGGAAAAACTTGGTAACAGTTGGTAGAGCTCATCAAGGTGGTTCTGAATATACCATATTTGTAGGGTCTCGCAAGTTTTATATCCGAGATATTGGGTGTTTTATCAATTTTGTTCAATTCTTTGTGAGGACATAACTTACGAACCACCCAGTATATTCATTTGGAATTTGGTACACAATTTCGCCTTCTTATACCAAAGCGACTCACCTATCAGTCACGAGAAAAATCCAGGACCGGATCAACGATAATTGATCATATATCTGTACCCCAAACATATCACCCTGTATTTTCGAATTTCCAAAATCTGCTCACATATTTGGAAAGTGCATGAAAATCTGAATCGTATGATGTACTTTCCATTTTTCCGCATGCTATTTCCGGCTATTTCACTAGGTAATTTCTGATTTTGAATATGAGGTTTCATGCATTTGGATAGGTAAAAATGGAATGTTTTGAGTTCTCCCAATCAAATAACAAAAACTATCACGAATCACCCAGTATATTCTTTTGGAATTTGGTACACAAGTCCTCCTTCTTTTACCCCAGCGACTCACCTATCAGACACGATGAAAATCCAGGTCCGGATTAACGAAAAATTATGATCTTCTGGGCCCCAAACAGAACACCCAGTATTTTCGAATTTTCAAAATCCGATTCCATATTTGGAAAGTTCACAAAGAGATGAATCGAATTGTGTACTTTTCAATATCCCGCATGCCCTTTCACTTATTGATTTCTGATTCTGAAAACTCAAAACTTTCCATTTTACCTCGATTTCTACCTATCCAAATGCATAAAATCTCAAATTCAAGACCAGAAATTCAGTAGTGAAATAGCATTCGTATGAAAATAAAAAAGTAGACAATCCTATTCAGCTTTTTGTGCAATTTTCAAATATGTAAGCATATTATGGAACTTCGAAAATACAGGGTGTTCTTTTTGGGGCCCAGAAATGTAATCAATTCTCGTTAATTCGGACCTGGATTTTTCTCCTGAATGATGAGTGAGGGGCTTGGGTAGATCAAGGAGAACTCGTGTACCAAATTCCAAAAAAATATACTGGGTGGTTTGTGATAATATTATTCAATTGGAAAAACTCAAAACATATTATTTTTACCTATTCAAATGCATAAAACCTCGAATTCAAAATCAGGAATTCCTTTGTGGAATTGCATGTGGGAAAATGAAAAGTACACCATTCGGTTCAGCTCTTTGCGCACTTTCCAAATATGTAAGCGGATTTTGAGAATTCGAAAATACAGGGTGTTCTTTTTGGTGTCTAGAAATTTAATATTATCAACTTTTGTTAATCCGGACCTGGATTTTTTTCGTGACTGATAAGTGAGTCGCTCTGGTAGAAAAAGAAGGAATCGTGTACCAAATTGCAAAAGAATATACTAAGTGGTTCGTAAGTTATGTCTTCACAAAGAATTGGGCAAAATTGATAAAACACCCTATATCTCGGATATAAAACTTGTGAGACTCCACAAATATGGTATATTCAGAACCACCCTGATGAGCTCTATCCACCGTTGAAGTTTTTCCGTTTCCCAATAGGACACCCTGTATAATCAAGGGTATAGGTGAGTATTTTTGTTCTGATCAGGAAAGCCCTCAAAATTCACATACTTGCTTAATCTGTATTTCATTCGCTATTCTCGGCATGGATAACTAGTTTTTGAATAATCACGGCCACCAATAATTCTTTGTCTCAAACAACGATATTGTTTACCTACATTTGATTATCAAGTCAAACACAGTGGAGTATGGAGATAAATAAATAATCACTATTATTATTGTTGATACTAACCTAACATTTTCCACGTCTTGTTCCTATACCTGGCACTGGCGCGGTATTTGCCATTAGAGCATCTGATCCATACACAAATATGTCACTCTGTGGTTGTATTTATATTGAAACTACAATTCGAACATCCTTGGAAATTGAATAAACCTGCTGTTAATGCAGGTAGAATATTCTCACCACACGCATTGCATACATATGGCACGGCATTGGTGGTTACTTCACATCTCGCTTCACATATACAGTGTGACCCACTTCTAATGGAACCACCCCTGTATCTTACGCAATCGTTGGGTAAAGATCCTGAAATTTGCTGGAGCGAGAGATATACCAAAAATGCACTCTATGACCAAGTGGGGTCATCTTCAGTGATATACACTGCTCGCCAACAGCCATGAAACTACCCCAATTTCCGGAAAATGATATTAGGAGTCAAAATAGGTCGAAAATCACTTCAGATTTGGAATCAGGACGCCCAATTTATTAACTATTCAAATTTTTCCTGGAAAATTTTCAGTTCGGAAAAATGAAATTTTGTCGCATTTTTTATGGAAGCACCCCTGTATCCCACTTAATTGACTTTATCTTTGGACTTTCTCTTCCTCCGGCAAATTTCAGAACCCTACCTCAATAATTACGTGAGATACGGGGGTGCTTCCATAAAAAATGCGACAAAATTTCATTTTTCCGAACTGAAAATTTTCCAGAAAAAATTTGAACAGTTAGTAAATTGGGCGTCCTGATTCCAAATCTGAAGTGATTTTCGACCTATTTTGACTCCTAATATCATTTTCCGAAAATTGGGGTAGTTTCATGGCTGTTGGCGAGCAGTGTATATCACTGAAGATGACCCCACTTGGTCATCGAGTGCATTTTTGGTATATCTTCCGCTCCAGCAAATTTCAGGATCCTTACCCAGCGATTACGTGAGATACAGGGGTGGTTCCATTAGAAGTGGGTCACACTGTATATTTGAGTTAATTGTTTCGGTTGCAGAAAAATCGCAAATTTTGCTTTCGCTCGGCTTCGCTGAACGCTCCGCCTCGCAAATGCAAAATTCGCTTGACAAACAAAGTGTCACTTTTGATCCTAATAAAACAATCTACTATTATACACCAAGGTA